TGAGAGACAACGCAATAAGTGTCCGGGACCCAAGACTGTTCAATTGCCTCCCAGCATACATAAGGGGGATTACCAATAGACCCCTGGCTGTCTTCAAGAAGGCACTGGACAGGCACTTAAAGTCGGTACCTGACCAACCGGGCCGTGGTTCGTACGTCAGCTTGCGTGCGGCCAGCAGTAAGAACCTGGTTGATCAGACCCTGATCCACCATGAGGCCTGGTCTCAGACCGGGCCGCGGGGGCGCTGACCCCTGAAACCCTATCCTGGTAAACTCCAGATGTGGTAATGAATTTTTCACAGGATGGGCTGGTTAAGCCCGTAGTAGGCCTCGGTCGCATAACCAAAAGCTTCCCTAAGGGGGGTCATCATATAACTAAACCCTCTTCAGGAGTTTTCCCTACTTCTCCTTACAAATAAAATACCACCTAGTCCATACATGGCTAAATGATTTGTGGTTTGACTTGCGCGTTAACGGAGTGTCTGGTACAAGACTACACTGGGTCGCCTTGACTTGCTGTCCACCCACAAAAAAAAAAAAATCGCTAAAATGTCAAGGAGAAAAGTATAGTATAAATATATAATGTATATATAGACAGACTGATCTATTTGCCGTTTTCAAGATTATATAACAATCTATATTCTTCATTCAGCCTATTTTCATATTGAACATTAAAATGGTATAAAATACCGACAGGTTGTTAGGTAAGACATATGCAACAGTTAGGTATCTTTATTTCGAAACGTTTCGCCTACACAGTAGGCTTCTTCAGTCGAGTACAGAAAAGTTGAAAGAAGCAGAAGAGACTTGAAGACGATGTAATCAGTCCATCACCCTTAAAGTTTTGAGGTGGTCAGTCCCTCAGACTATGGAACAATGCTCTTCTCCAGACTGAGGGACTGACCACCTCAAAACTTTAAGGGTGATGGACTGATTACATCGTCTTCAAGTCTCTTCTGCTTCTATCAACTTTTCTGTACTCGACTGAAGAAGCCTACTGTGTAGGCGAAACGTTTCGAAATAAAGATACCTAACTGTTGCATATGTGTCTTACCTATTGTTCCATTCACAGTGCTCGGCAGGCAACTACAGATGTAAATTGTGTATTTAATATTTGAAAACGCTAACACAAATTTTTAAGTAACGAAGTATGGTTACTAGTTGTTGGCAGTTGTGTAGGCACGATTAAACTGAAGCTATATTATTTTATCTGTTATCATTGCTTTAGTTTTATTAGCAGATCAGTCAAAACTGGAGAATAAACTGAATTATGAATGTCATGAACTGGTATGTGTCTCTTGTAATGGGGTGGGCTTGGGGCAAGAAGAAGATAACACACACATGCATACATATGCAACAGCCTAGCGTCTAATCGACATGTGCCTAGGATAAACTGGTAATTAACTAACCAATCATTGCACAGACTCCTGAGTCTGACCGGTAAGCTAGTGGTCACTCTGCCATTGCCCTTAATAGGGCTAATGGTTACCACATTTGTATGTTAATTGGCACCACCGACTGTAGCGCCACACGCCAGTGAATGATTGTTATATTGTCAACAACATACTGATTGGGCCATCACGTGACAAAGATTCGTGTCAAGTGATTTTTCCCACATGAATATTACATCATCGTTAGTGAATACTAGCTCCTAAGAATGACGGGGCAACTCTTGCTAGGCTGAGCTGCCAACTGCCCTAAGTGAAGAACCTCATGCTTGTTTGTTAGGCTAAAACCAATGTATTACACGAGGGTAACTAAGGTAACAACACAACCAAATACATCAAGGATGCCTTAATCTCCGAGACAGGGATAAACGTAAACTCTCATTGTATATACACCGAGATATATACACCTCTTGGTATATGTACTCTATTCTCGGTTTCAAGGTCGGTCAAGGGATTGGCACGTTTTGTTCTGATAATTTTAGATGTTGGTTGACTGTGACTAAACAGTGTTTGTGTGTGCTCTTATCGTAACTCTTCACTTAGTTGTTTGTGGGGAGTAAGCTCCAGCTCCTGGGTTCTGTCCCTTATTCATTTTCGACATGTGATACATTTTCTAGCTTTCATTACTGAAATATAATTTAACTGTACAATCACCCAAATGAAAAAATTGTGCTATTAGCATGTTCTTGTTACAAAATATACAATTTGCGACATGATTAATTATATGAGTAATGTATCGCCTTTCTTCATGAGTGTTAAATAATTTGTAAAATGTCATATCTCAGTTTTTACACAGGAGGATACCTGCGATATTCCAGTAATGATAAATTATGTAGAACAGGACGATAATAAACTGTGCACTATTAGGGTCACAAGTGACATGGTCCTTAGGCAAATAGATAAATTAAAACCTAACAAATCCCCAGGCCCTGATGAACTGTATGCAAGGGTTCTAAAGGAATGTAAAGAGGAGCTTAGCACACCTTTGGCTAATCTTTTCAACATATCACTACAAACTGGCATGGTGCCAGAAAAGTGGAAAATGGCAAATGTGATACCTATTTTCAAAACAGGTGACAGGTCCTTAGCTTCGAACTATAGACCAATAAGCCTAACCTCCATAGTGGGAAATTTATGGAATCAATAATTGCCGAGGCAGTTCGTAGCCACCTTGAAAAGCATAAATTAATCAACGAATCTCAGCATGGTTTTACAAAGGGGCGTTCCTGCCTTACGAATTTATTAACTTTTTTCACTAAGGTATTTGAGGAGGTAGATCATGGTAATGAATATGATATTGTGTATATGGACTTCAGTAAGGCTTTTGACAGGGTCCCACATCAGAGACTATTGAGGAAAATTAAAGCACATGGAATAGGAGGAGAAATTTTTTCCTGGATAGAGGCATGGTTGACAAATAGGCAGCAGAGAGTTTGCATAAATGGGGAGAAATCAGAGTGGGGTAGGGTCACGAGCGGTGTTCCACAGGGGTCAGTGTTGGGGCCCCCTGCTGTTCACAATCTACATAAACGACATAGATGAGGGCATAAAGAGCGACATCGGCAAGTTTGCCGATGACACCAAAATAGGCCGTCGAATTCATTCTGACGAGGACATTCGAGCACTCCAGGAAGATTTGAATAGACTGATGCAGTGGTCGGAGAAGTGGCAGATGCAGTTTAATATAGACAAATGCAAAGTTCTAAATGTTGGACAGGACAATAACCATGCCACATATAAACTAAATAATGTAGATCTTAATATTACGGATTGCGAAAAAGATTTAGGAGTTCTGGTTAGCAGTAATCTGAAACCAAGACAACAGTGCATAAGTGTTCGCAATAAAGCTAATGGAATCCTTGGCTTCATATCAAGAAGCATAAATAATAGGAGTCCTCAGGTTGTTCTTCAACTCTATACATCCTTGGTTAGGCCTCATTTAGATTATGCTGCACAGTTTTGGTCACCGTATACAGAATGGATATAAATTCTCTGGAAAATGTACAAAGGAGGATGACAAAGATGATCCCATGTATCAGAAACCTTCCCTATGAGGATAGACTAAGGGCCCTGAAACTGCACTCTCGAGAAAGACGTAGAATTAGGGGGGATATGATTGAGGTGTATAAGTGGAAGACAGGAATAAATAAAGGGGATGTAAATAGTGTGCTGAAAATATCTAGCCTAGACAGGACTCGCAGCAATGGTTTTAAGTTGGAAAAATTCAGATTCAGGAAGGATATAGGAAAGTACTGGTTTGGTAAAAGAGTTGTGGATGAGTGGAACAAACTCCCAAGTACCGTTATAGAGGCCAGAACGTTGTGTAGCTTTAAAAATAGGTTGGATAAATACATGAGTAGATGTGGGTGGGTGTGAGTTAGACCTGATAGCTTGTGCTAACAGGTCGGTTGCCGTGTTCCTCCCTTAAGTCAATGTGACCTGACCTGACTAGGTTGGGTGCATTGGCTTAAGCCGGTAGGAGACTTGGACCTGCCTCGCATGGGCCAGTAGGCCTTCTGCAGTGTTCCTTCGTTCTTATGTTCTTATGTTCTTATATTGATCAGGTAGCCACAATATGGTGAACCTAGAACTGTTTATAATAATAACGATCTTTATTTCTACAGGTACATGTACAAGGTATACAGTCCTAGCTGACATCAATGACATACTACTATACAGAAAGCCCCTTGTTATGCTGAGTATTTCGGGAAAATTAGGTCAGTTATGTCCCCAGGATGCGACCCACACCAGTCGACTAACACCCAGGTACCTATTTAACTGATAGATGAACATGGACAGCAGGTGTCTTAATATTGTGGTAGGAAAGTAGGAATTAAACAGCCGAGAGCTGAAGAAAACTGTGAATGAAATAGTTTTCTTTATAAATATTTTGGGCAGCATCCAACTGGCAAGAGAAGCATACTCCGAGCCGTCTCATAATAGTGAGTACTGTTACAAGTTCATGAACCAGTAAAACTAAACCTTTGGTGGATATTGATCTATTATATTATTATACCCTGTACTTATCAACTGGTGATGTTTTCTTTCTCAAGAACAACTATATCAAAGAACGCATCTTAAAATGACGCGCTGGCGTATTTGGGTTAGGGATTCTCCCATTACGATATCAGCGGATCACATCATGTCCTACTTATTTGTGCTCCTCTCAGTACATCCCATCATATACTCCATCAGTTCACAAATTCTCCATGAATGTGCAGCTGACGGGAGTGCTTGACGTCGGCGGCAGCCCACATGACTTCCACGTCAAAATAAATGCCTTTTTCCTTGGCCAAACTTATCGATTTAGGTTCGTCGTAACAAGGTTAATGGCGTCATTGCCACGACATTTCAAGATCTTAATTATATTACATAAGTTTCACCAAATAACGCGGACCAGATTTTTCTTTTCTCTTCATAACTTAACCTGAAAATATACGATTTAGTCTTTTTCTTGCTAAAGTAATATTAAGAAATTTGAGCTAATGCTAGAAAAACGCATATGTAATATACTGGACATTAGTAGTTTGGAGTTAGGTTTGGGTAATATTAATTTAGTTTATACTGTTTTTATTTACATTAGTCAAAGGGAATAAGTTTAAATTTAGAGGTCATATAACTTCCTTTTGATTTCGCTGCTAGAGGCAATGAATTAATATTAGCCTCACTCACATTTCAGCAGTCCTGGTTCAAATCACCCACACCGTCTTAGTCCAAGTCACCCACACCGTCTTAGTCCAAGTCACCCACACCGTGCTGGTGTAGGAGAGTGTGGGTGGTTCTGGTGTGCGGGTTTACCACCAGCAGGAGAATGTTTTGAGAGTGGGTTGGTTTCTCTGGTACTGTCACACCGTCGGCAGCCATGACGCTCACCTGCGCTGCCACAGATCTCACCACCACCCTCCCGTCCTCAACCATAGGCCTGGTGTATAATAAATATAAATCATAATAAAACAAAATAAAACTATTAATGGATGGTTGGTTAATGGGGTTTAAAGCCTTTCGACTACACCAGGAGCATTAAGGCTGCATGTAAACTCTTCTACACAGGACAAGAATACTGTTATCCCTAGTCTAGGGATTAAGTAAACTCTCAGCATATATACACTCAGTGCATGTGAGAAGGAACCACATACATGTATACGATAGTCGCAGATGACAGATACACCTCACGAAACTTTTTAATTTAATGAAATTGGGCACATCTGTATTGTGTTGGTACCATAATCAGTAAAAATGTGAAAACAAAAGGCAGCTATGTTTTCCCTATCATATTCCTTCACATGGGATGGATTTCTTTCAAGAGGTAATGAAACCTGTCAGCCCCAACTGGTAGATTTCAGTAAGGCAACATAGAGAACGTTAAACGCTCCACTGTGGATTCAGTAACTATGGAATTACCAACTTGGGAATTAACCCTCTCCCAGGTTGTATGGTAAACCCTGCCTCTCAGTGTTTACCGATGGAGTGAGGAATAGTTAGTCCGTATAAATTTAGGTCATTCCTTACTTGGCAACTCACGTGGCGATTGATGGACATTCTCATTCTTACACTGCATTAACCACAGGTTTAGCGCTTCAGGAAATGCAATTCATTCTTACCTATCTTAAACTGGATATATAAGCAACATTGTCTCGGGAGAAATAAATGTCCCGGCTAGCGATGAGTGACCTGCCTATGTGGGGACAACAAACCAGACACGGTAAATATCTGTGATCAATGCGCGAACTTGCTAAATGATATTACAGCGCGTGAACGGGGTGTAATCTTTACACCAGTCGGCAGCAAGTGTAAGGATTACACCCCAGGGCTCGAAGCCCGGTCCCTCTGTGTGAGGACGCTACCGGTTCAGCCACGAGCACCCAGCTAGTTTAATATCTTTATTATGCACCCCATACCCAGTTGAGCATAGTTCAGCGTGCATCAGACAGTCCTCAGCCATGGTAGGTGAACAACTTAGCTTGAGAGTGTGAGGGAAGGAAGTCTGAGGACAATTGAGTAAGAAACCGGTGCTGAAGGACTTTCTTGGAGACTTAAATGAGCAGCAGTGAACTGTCAATTACAAGTTATGTTACACTAGTATTTTGTGAATCTTTGTTCTTAGTTGGTTATTAATCGTTGTAATAACTCCAAGTATTATACTGCTCTCGCTCCCAGCAACTATTTTTAGTTTGCAAGTGGATACTCTTATTATCAGTATAATATCATTATTTTTATTAGTATAATAAATAATTGTATTCCAAGATATTTGGTTTCCATTTACACCTGTATAATTTTAACTTTTATTTTGTGTACTCTACAATGTTAATTGGCAAGTGGTCAACAAGTGCTGTAACAAAGCAGAGAAAACACGTCTCACTTCGTCCTCCTGTATGACACGGGGGTCCTGTGATGAATAAAAGGGATGATTTGGATACACTGGGGGATCTTCTAAACCCCACCGGGGTTTAGAAGATTATTTTGTCATTTATGAGGAAACGCTACACCTGTATGGATCATAGTTCTTGGGAATGGTAGGTAATGAGATTTGTTTCAAGGAAGGGAAAATTTGTTCCAATTCCCTTGATCAGGACCACTTCATTGGCCTCAAGTCAGCATCATGAATGGTTCGCCCCTTGATCAAACTCTATACCTTTCGGTTACCGGCCATACATGATGAGGGTGTGTGCCACGAAGACAGTCTTAGAGAAAAGAGAAAGGGACTCACGTGACGAGATCCCTGTAGAGGGTTCTAGTGACGGCGAGATAGTGGTGAATGTTGTCTTCGAACTGGCAGCACTCTCCCCCCAGTACCACCAGGCGGAAGAGTCTCACTAGTAGCTGTTCTCTCTCCTCCTTCTGCAGCACCTCCCACAGCTCTCCACCCTCTTCCACCAATACCTGTATGTATATGTATTTTTTGTGATGATAATATACATAAATTCCATCTTTCCCTGTATATGGGATAGGCCATCCTGAGAGAGAATAATTTTTACATTATAGCAACTCCAGCTCTGATGGAAAGAAACCTTTAAGCCTCCATAGCTATTTGATGATATTCTCATCTCCCTACTAGTCTCCCAGCTTGAGCTGTCAGATTTCATACTCATGTATACAACGCTTTGTGTGTGAATATGACAGGGAAACCTAGCTAGCAGCTGTCTCTAGCAATGTAACACAGAACATGTTAACCACTGTAACATACATCTATACATTATTTGGTATTTATTTAGTGGTTAATTATTATTCCTACTGATAGGATTGTTTTTACCCAAAAGGGGATACCTTTCTTATAATACCTGAGATAATGTTCATTTGTAATAATCCCACATTTACTCTAAAATTTATCTTTTTATAATATTGTTTGAAACTTAATGTTTATTTTATATTGAGCGAGCTGGGGGGGGTGCTTGGATCACCTTGCATGAAATACATAAATCGTGATTTTTTGAGCATGGATACGAATTGGCAAATTACCGGGTTGGCAATTTGTTTCCCAAACTTTGGGGGTGATTGTCCTGTCCCCAGCCTCGAGGATTGATGCTTACCTTTTCGATTGTCATCGAGTACGGGGTCATGGGTAGTGGTCAGGCGGGAACTATTTCCCCGTCGCCTTACCACCTCATTTCGAGACTTGGGGGAACACCCCATGGAGGTGAGTGGCAAGGCCCCCTCCTCCATGCTCCCACGGGGGCCCCCGGCCCCTAGAAAAGGGAGGTTTGAGGAAGGTAGAAAACAAGATACAGGTGAGAATTAAAGGGGAAGCGAAGGTGTGATATTTGGGGAGGGGGGTGGGTAAAAACAAATGGGAAGGGTAGGTAAAAACTAAAGGGGAAAGGGTAGGAAAAAATGATGGGAGGGTAGGGAAAATGGGTGGGGGGATAGGTAGACATAGCTGGGGTTTAACCTGGCAGCATTTATTTTTTTCTTGTGTTGAAAAATTTAGATGGCTGCTGCTTTTTCCCTAAATAAGTCCAGGGGGTTGTTTTAAAACCCCTAGCTCCCCTTTTGTGTACTTGTTTGGGGACTGAGTAATTCAGATATAGAGGATGCACACCTCTCGGTGTAGTTTTACAATCCGCTAATGGGTTAAAATTTTAAGGTCACTGATAAATTTGGGTTATCCAGTCGAAATTCACTCTTTTTAATACTGTCAGAAGGTATAAAGCTAATTTGGGAAACGCATAAACACCCTCACTTTATACTAATTACAAAGATACATTTTAAGTATTTTAAAACCCCTAGCTTTTAAAACAAAAAAAATGCAATAAATTTTTATTACATAAAATATTAGATAAATAATGTTTTTAAAATTTTTTAGATAGGGCTAAATTTTGAAATAACTGAGGTAGATAACACTGCAAATAAATAGTAGCGACAATGAAAGAACTCTCGGTAAGAAACTACCCAAGGGGAAATTTAAGAAATGTGGGGAGAATGAAAGGGAGTGAAAAAAAAGGGAAAGGGCAAGATATCGGAAAATAATAGAGGTAGTGAAAGATCATAGTTTTTGGAGAATAAAAAAGGTATAAATGATCCTAGAAATTTGTGAGGATTATAGGGCAAGAGGGATACCAAAAAAAAAATAGCAAATACCAAGCCATTAACAACCCTAGAGGTTCTTCAGGTGCCCACGCCACCTCCAGGGACGCTGCCGCGCTGAACCCCTGACGAAATCCTGCGCACGTAAAAATTAAATTTCAGGAAACTTTTTGCTTATCCCCAACCAAGCAGGCAAGCTTACTGTCTGCAATTTAACGAAGTCAGTGCAAAGTATATAACTGAATGAAAATTCGTAATTTCTTCAAATTTATGTCTCTTACTGTATCAAAATTAACTTCCTCATATTAATAACAAGAAAAAATGGAATAGTATTTGAAATTTTTACCAGTCTTCCCCTTCTGACTTAAGTGAATTTAAGTAAGGTTAAGTCTGCCGAAATGCCTGGGCATGATATGGCTTTTTTTGTACCAACAAATTATAAAATGCAAACACACATTGAACCTTTGAAAAGAAATAAACTTTGTTTGTTTTGATTCCAGTTTCAAAAAAAAAATTTTTGGTAGAGATAGAATCTAAGTTCTTTGTTCACCTTTCTTTTTTTTTTTAAATTTTTAAAAATTATTTCTCTTGTTCTACCATTTTCGATACCAAAAATTTTTCAAATTTTTATTTCTTAACTCTGAATCTTTTTTTTGGGGGAAAAGTTTTTGATCTATTTGTTCTTTCAAAATTAAGTAGCCCCAAATTTTGATGTAGCATACAAATTTTTAAAAAATTTAAAAAATTTTTTATATATATTATTATATATATAATATAATATAATATATAATATATATGTGTGTGTGTGTGTGTGTGTGTGTTGGTGTGGGTTGGTGTGTGTGGGTGTGGTGTGTGGGGAAAATTACATTTACTGAATGTATCATTATTTACATAACAGTAAATAACAAAGATAATTATTTTTTATCATTTAGACAAGTAGGAAATTTGGGACACCTATCGCGATCGACACCAGCAAACCCCTTTTCTAGGTAGGGTAGGTGCCTGAGCCCGACCTTTAGCCTACACTGTCTTTCCCATTTCCCCCCTTTGGGGGGGGGAGGGCAGACCAGAGAGGCCTAGTTTGTGGCAGGCCGGGGGACAGTTGGTCCCAAAGATGAGGAGGGACTTTGCCTCCTCCCAGGGAACTTAGGGCTCAGACACTCCCCAAAAAGGGACCAAGGCCGGGGCCCCCACTTGGGAAAAAGGCCCGGGCCGGGAATACCGGGAATCTTTAATAATAAAATAAAATAAACCTAGGTCGCAAAAAAAAGTCCCCCTTCGATACCTCCCGTCTATCCACAGTTTCTCTGGACCTATTAATTACAATGAAAAATACATCACCAGAAAATGGGAAATATTAAATTTTTTGGCTGTAATTAAAAATAAAAAATGGTTTTTAAAAATACAATTACATAAAAGAAGGAAAATAATCTAAAATCACTCACCAATTTTACTGGAGATTAAGTTGTATCATACTCGAAAACCCCCCCCGTCACATTTTGAAATACTGGCCAGAACTATAAACTAATAAGACATGACTTTGCTGGGGTCCTGAGCTGTCTTGTCCAGCCCTGATATCTAAGTTACAGGAAAACCATTCAAAAAATTTCGTCTCCTATTTAGAGGTTCAGCCTAATTTTTAAACCCCTAGGCACGAAAAACCTTCCCATTACACAACGTTGTACCAAATTTAAAAAACCAAAAGGCGACGTCCGTGGCGGCGCAGGGTCATTTTTTTTTTTTATTATTTATTTATTTCCAATTTGAGCACAATACAGAGGTAAAAAAAAATACAGATAAGAGCATATGCCAAAGCCACTTTTACTAGCATAGCATTTCCGGGGTGGCTTAAAATTTAAATTAAGATTTAAATAAGCAATATAAATCAGTGATAAAACTTAATTAAACAGATAACTTAAAGCCAAATGAGTAACAAAGACGGTCAATGGTTGCTTGCATTGTTTACATTCATCGTATGGAGATTCTGTTAGGTAGTGTATTTAAAAAATAATAAAGTTGATTGGGTTTTAGGTTTTTAAAATTTATGTGAATATTGTAGAACATTTAAGATAACAATTTATAAGGTTCAGTTATTCAGTATTTATTTGGTTTTGGGAGTAAGTGAACTTTGAGAAGGGCTTTTAATTTAAAACAGGGAGTGTTTCTTTTATATTTACAGGGAATGAATTCCAATTTTAGGGGCCTTTAAAACACAAAAATTTTTTTAAATACAATATGGGCCATCTATTATCTAAAATTTACCGATTTCCGAAAAATATACAGTATTTTTTCCCCAATATATATTTATTTTTTTATTTCCACTGGGATTCCCCCCAAGGGAGTGGGCCCAAAAAGAAAACTTTCACCTCATTCCTCCCTCAGCTTTCCAGAAAGGGGGCTTTACACTACATTTTTTAAACTGCAACATTTCACCCCCCCTTCAAGTGCAGGGACTGACTTCCCATCCCAGGACTCAAGTCCGGCCCCCGGGTTTTCCCCGAACCCCTCATAAATGTTTCCTTCCCCCACTCCAACAGCACGTCAAGTATTTAAAAAACCCTTTGTCTCCATTCACTCCTATCAAACATGCTCATCATACCTGCTGGAAGTCCAAGCCCCCCGCACACAAAAACCCCCTTTACCCCCCCCTCTCCAACCTTTCCAAGGCCGACCCCTACCCCGCCTTTCCCTTCCACACAGACTGATACACTCTTTAAGTCATTCGTTTCGCTCCATTCTCTCTACAGTCCGAACCCCTCAAAAACCCTTCCTCAGCCCTGGGCAACAGTTTTGGGAATCCCCCCCCCCTCCTCCTAACTTCCAAAATACAATTCTCTGCATTATATTCACACCACACATTGCCCCCAACATGACATCTCCACTGCCTCCCCCTTTTTCCTCGCTGCAACATTCATCACCCATGCTTCACACCCAAAAGACGTTGGGAAAACTATACTCTCTACATTTTCCCCCTTTGCCCCAAGGACAAAGTTCTTTGTCTCCACAGACTCCTAAGTGCACCACTCACTCTTTTTCCCTCATCAATTCTATATTCACCTCATCTTTCATAGCCCATCCGCTGACACTCCACTCCCAAAAATCGAATACTTTTACCTCCTCCAACTCTCTCCCCCCCAAACTAAAATCAATCTTTCATCACCTAATCTTTTTGTTTTTCCTCATAACCTTACCTTTCCCGTATTCACCTTTTTTTTTCTTCTTTGCCACCCTACCAAATTCATCCACCAAACTCTGCAACTTCCTTCAAAAACTCCCAAGACACAGTGGGCATCAGCAAAAAGCACTGTGACAACTCCCACTTTTGTGTGTTCTTTTTCTTTAACTCCATGCCCCTTTTCAAGCCCCCCCCCCGCATTTTCTTCTCTTTCAACCCCATCATAAATTATTAAACAACCACGGTGACACACACATCCTTTCTAAGCCTATTTACGGGGGAAAAATTTCCCTCTTTCCTACATACTCTAACTTGAGCCTACTATCCCGTAAAAACTCTTTACTTTTCAGTAACCTACCTCCAACCATACACTTGCAACATCTTCCCCATTGCCCCCCCATCCACCCTTCATATGCTTTTCCAAATCCATAAATGCCACAAAACCCCCTTTTTCTTATCTAAATACTGTTCACTTTTAAGTTTCCCCTGTAAAAAAACCCGTCCACACACCCCCCACCTTTTTCCCAAAGCCTCCTTGTTTCTCTGCTACCATTCTTTCCCCCCCAAGGAAGGGTTTCCCTTTATTTGGAGGGGGTCTTGATTTTGGGGAAATTTGGGTCTAGCTCCTTCCCCCGAATTTAAGGGCCCGAAGCCTTCCACACCCCCCCCCAGGGGGCTGTATAATCCCCGGGGTTTTTTTTTGGCGTTCCCCTTGATTATAATAAAATAATATCCTATTCTCCGTCTTACTCTTTTTTCTTTTAATAATAACTCTACCATAACTTTACCAGGTATACTCACAGACTTATCCCCCATAATTTTTGCACTCTCTTTTATCCCCTTTGCCTTTATACAAAGGAACTATGCATGCTCTCTGCCAATCCCTAGGTACCTTACCCTCTTCCATACATTTATTAAATAATTGCACCAACCACTCCAAAACTATATCCCCACCTGCTTTTAACATTTCATCTTATCCCATCAATCTATATATATATATATATATATTATAATATATATATATATATAAATATAATATATATAAAATATATATATATATATATAAATATATATATTATATATATATATATAATATATATATAGTAGCGTGACAGTGTCAGCGGGGCCTCGTTGTGCTCCCGGTTTCTGGTGTTTTTCACGGTCGCTCTTATGTGCTAGAACTTTAATTGGTGTCATCAATCCTATACGATACATCCCTCAAAGCGCCTGGAACCAATCTTGGGGGGAAAACATTATATACTGATCAAAAAAGGAGAATTAGTGTGCACTACCTAGCAGAGTTTTACTGCCAGAGGGGAAAATCATAGGCCTGTGTCCCGTGTGAAAAAAATAATAATAATTGAACTTTGTGTCAGAGGAAAGAAAGTCTCCCTGAAAGCATTGAGTATACATAGTGTATACTGAAATACTACAGTGGCTCCCTAGTATATTGATGATAAAGGCTAAAGTGTCATTTGAAAACAGGTAAATTTTTGTAATGAAGTGATAAGCCTATAGAGGCGGGTGCCAGAAGTCGCCAAAAACTTACCACAGGTCACCTGTTTTAATAATCTTCCTGGCCTGCTAGTGTACTCGCATATAATCTAGTGATACTAGTGAATAGCAAATACAGTGTTGTATAGCAACTAACCATATTAAAAAGGGGTACTTATGGAGTGGAGTGACTTTCATTAGTTTTTTTTTCTTGAAATACCAGACGTTACTGTGAATTTCATATAACCTGTAGTTTACCAGCAGTCGCAATATACACAACGAGAAGCAATTATTACTACAGAAAAAGCGTCCTTCCTCCAAAATTTGCACCAGTCAACATAGTGATAATATAGCATTTTTTGTGGTGGGACGGAAAAAAAAAATAGAGAAGCTAATACAGCGATTGATAAACAAGGGTGGGGGTCGACCGTTCGTCATTGTAGGAGTGCCAGCAGTCACCGGCCTTC